AGGATATTATTAACATCGGATTCTTTAGGAAAAATCCTTCTGCTACTTCATTTATAACAAATAAGTGAATGGATTCACATGTCAATGTAAGGGCAATCTTGCTAGTTAAAATCTTTTCGCTAACTCAGTAGCATTTTTCCAACTTGAACGGTGTCCAAACTATGACAAGAGTCTCAGTATTATGCATTGTAGAATAACAAGAATTGTGCCACTCCAAAGAGGCACAGGACATACAACATAGATGTTGTTACACTTTTATGCGTCTCAACGAGTAAATGCGGTAAGATTAAATATGTGGGCGTCGACAACATGGAAGTACTTCTGGGTAAGCAGAGCTCTATCACAATGGTTATATTGGCCGACATTGTACCTTGAAGGATCGACATCCCTAGCTTTTTCCAGTATAACAGAACTTGAGATTCCCAAAAATGTATTGATAATTTCATGCTAACGACGATCTATTCCGACTGACCGCACCATCTCCTACAAATTTTACTTATCTCAAGTATGTTATTCAACTCTCTCAATTTTCCAGCTGGAAGTCATTAGTGAACAATTCCTAAGTATCATTTGTCTTTGAACTACATATGACCATGAGTCGGTAAATCGTTGACCAAGAATCAGTCTGTAAATCGTGAATTGGCCCATGTAATATGGTTCAATTACAATACCAATATTCATAAACTGCAAATCGAAAGTTCTAATTGGTTGTTTGATGATTCCATCATGTATGATTGAGTTGCGAAAACTTCTAGATATGTATCTTACTTATGCATCGAATTCTTTACGCTTAAGTAATCTCTATCCAATTGCTATGGAACAACTAGGAGAGTCTAAAGGAAATACGGACTTTGGCAGCAACATGTTTGGTCCCATTCATGGGATAGAAAATCAAGACATTCTAAGAAGAAATATTTGAATATCAATCTCATCGATATCATCAATCTCATACCAAATCTCATCAATCGAATCATTGTTTCGAAAAATACGAATACAAGTTCATTTATTTCTCCAAAAAACATGTTTAATATGATCGTTAATTTATTTCTCAAAAAATAAAATAAAATAAAATAAAATAATTTGAACCTTAATTTAGGTTTTCAAATTTATAAATAACTAGTACTTCACCCGTGCGTTGCACGGATATCAGTTTCAAAATGAGAAAAATAATAATATTTAAGCTATTATCTCTTTATAACAACATAAATTCAAGTAAAACAAAATGAAAGGAAAAAAAAATCTCTTAATTGAGAGTTGTAACATATGAAATTCAATTAAATATTAGTAAGAAAAATATGCGAATGGCGCAAAGCACGATATGAAGATTAAGTGAAATAATTTAAAATATATGGTATAACTATATTTCATGAAATGAAATTTACTATACTATGTAAATCCTCTGCAAAATAACTAACCTAACAACAAACACAGTAACATAGATGTAACACAATAGATATTCAAATAACCTGCAAGTTTATCACTAACAACATTCAATTAGTGATGCACATTACTCAAACAACATCACAACTTATAAATATTGCAAAAGAGCTAGATAAGATGTATACGCCAATACCAATAATAATACCAATGCTGATATCAATATGATATGATACTGATATTGATACTAATACTATA